GCCAAGCCGACGTCACCCGGGCGGGGCCTTGACGCCGCGGTCTTTGCCGTCGGCTTGGTGGGGCTCTGCTACCGTACCCACCACCGCCAACAGCGGGGGTTACTACTGGCTGTCGGCAGGCGGCGGCGGTAGTGGTGGAGCGAGGACGACGGTGTTTTCGCAACCCTCCATGGCGACATCGACGTCAGCTTCCGCTTCGGCTGCAGCAAATAAGAAGGTCAAGGTTGCTGCCGCTGGCGCGAAGAAGACGAAAACGACGGCCGCCGCCGCTGCGGGCAGAACCGCCCTCCCTGCAAGAACCACCACCACTGCGAGAAAACCTTCGACGGCTAAAAAAAACGCGCCCAAGAAGAAGAAGCAACCCGTTGCCTCCGCTGCCGCGGCGAAGAAGAAGAGCAAGCCTGCAGCCGCCAAGCCGGAGGGCTCCAAGAGAGTACTGGTGATCGTGGAGTCCCCGGCCAAGGCGAGGACAATCACGGAGCTCCTCAAGAAGGCCGCCGCTGGCGGGGGCGGCGGCGGGGAGCTTTACAAGGGTTACACCGTGGACGCCTGCAACGGCCACGTGACGGACCTGGTCGGCAAGAGGAGGGACGTGCCGGCGGAGCTGAAGGAGCAGACCAAGGGCTGGGATGTCGTTGGCGTGGACGTGGTGAGCATTTTGTGTTTGTCTGTGTTGTTGTTTCATGCCCGTAAATGTGTTGGTAATTGGCAAACAGTGGCAATGACACGGTGGTGGTGGTGATGCGGACGCTTGTGGTGTGATTAGTATTTGTATGCATACAGCCAATGAAGCAGGCCGGGGGCTAAGGTGTTGCTGTTGTAGTTGTTGTCTTCGTTGTCTTCAATATTGTTGGCGAAGGTGGCGCAAACGTGGAGTTGTTCATGGCCTCGTGCAGCAGCAGCAACAGCAACAGCAGCAGCAGCAGCAGCAACCAGAGCAACGAAAGCAACAAACTGATCGCCCCTTTCCGTTGTGGCACACTGCCCGCTCAACTTTTCAGGAGAACGATTTCGAGCCGCTGTACATCCAGAACCCCAAGAAGAAGGCGATCATCACCCGGCTCAAGAAGGCCTCCGCCAAGTGCGACGAGATAATCCTGGCCACCGACGAGGACCGAGAGGGGGAGGCCATCAGCTGGCACCTGTTGCAGGTGCTACATGCTGATTATTTCGGTTCATCTTTTCGCGGTTCATTTATGGCTGTTGTTGGTGTTGTTGGTTCGCGTAACCGTTGCTGTTGGTCTTGTTGTGGTCATTTGCGCTGCCGTTTTTAGTGTTGTTGTTGTTGTTGTTGTTGTTGTTGTTGTTGTCCTTGTTGTTTGATGTTACATGCCGGCTGACTTCTCTCTGTGCCCTTTGCTCGCCCTGGGCAAGCCCCAAAGCTGACTGCTGCTGTTTGTCGCGTTTGATGCTCACCTGGCTACCGCTGTTCTCGCGTTATTTCGGTTAGCGTGCAGTTCGTGTGGAACCCTCATTTTGCTCTTTCCTTTTGTGCTGTGTGTTTTGTGAGTTGTTTGGTCTTGGTAGCGACGAACAGCCAAGTATTGACCAAAACATTGTGATTCCGCCCGTTTGGGCCTCGCTGCGTGGCTTGTCTGCTGCGTCCGAAGGCACATCCTCCCCACGTGTCGGCGTGTTCCCAGTACTCCCCCCCCCCCCCCCTCCCGCATTATAATCCGCACGGAGCCCCCCAACACTGTGAAGTGAAAGAAGGACCGGTAGCACGCCACACGAAATATCCCGTGTCACAGGACCGCCACGGAAACGCGGCCAACTTTCGACTGTTTATTTGCAATGTGCATTCATGTGGTGTGTGTGCGTGTGTGCAATCTTCGTCGACCAGGTCCTGGAACCGAAAGTTCCGGTCAAGAGGGCGGTGTTTCACGAAATCACCCAGGAAGCACTCGTCAAGGCGTTCGAGGTCAGACGGCAAATTCTGTGGTCTGTTGGTGGTGGTCCGTTGGGGTGTTTCTGTTCGTGTTGTTGTTATTGTTGCTGGTGGCGTTTTTGTTGGTGTTGTTGCTGGCTGGTTGATGTTTGTTGTTGTTGTTGTTGATGGCGTTGATGTCGTTGTCGTTTTGATGACCAGAAGATCGTTTTTCGACAACTAGTTGCACGGTCATCAGCCAAGTTGTGTTGACAAAGATAGGAACAAGCGCGCTGCGCCAACGCCGGGGTACTCGACGCAACCGAACGTCCCGCAACAGCCCTCCACCGTGTCGTCCGCAGCCACATCAGCGTCAGGATCCCATGTTTCCGCGTTTATTTCTTCTCTTCACGCCCGCGCACCCTTGTACGACGACAGCAACAGCGACAACGATTGTGGTGTGTTTCTAGTCCACCCAACAAGCCTCCACCGGATCAATCCCCCTTCCATTCCCCCCTGTGTACCATGTCGGCAAGTGTGCGAGTTTCGATGATCACGCGACCGTAGAGGCAAGAAACAGATGAGGTTACCCCCACCCCCACCCCCACCCCTCCGGTCTCGTGCGGTGACTTGCTTGTTCCATTGGTTTTTTTTTATCGTATCTTCAGGAACCAGGACAGATTGACGAGAACCTCGTTCAGGCCCAGGAGGCCCGCCGCATCCTTGACCGCTTAGCTGGGTAAGAGGGGGAGGGGGGGAGAGGAACTCATGTGGACAATGGAGCGGCATTAGCCGGGCCAGTGGGTAGAGGGGTCTGGTACGTTTGCGCCCGCGCTGGTTGATGGGTAGTCTTTGAAGTCTGCTGGTGTTCCATGGATTTGATCGATTTTGATGACTGGGAAAGGGAGGCTGCCGAAACCCCTCCCGTTAATGCCCGTGTTCTATCCTGGTATCTAAATAGCTGGTACATAGGTTTCCCATTGGCATCGCCGAAGTGGCACGTTAAACGTATCCCCCCCCCCCCCCTTATCTGGTTTGGTCACAGCAAACGCAAGGATGATGACCAGCTTTTGGTTCATCCTTATGAAACCTATACAGTAACCAGGGCCGGTGAAAACCCGGCATACCGCTCCGTCCCGGCATTGTAGGGGCGCGAGGTGTATGCGTATACATGAGTACCCCCCCCCCCGTCGAGTTGATGATGTTGTGCGGGGTCCAGAATCCTCACTCCACGCAAGGGGGATGATCGCACCACGTTGTGTAAGAATGGTCAACCATCCTCGAGGCAGTTACACAGTGCTTACAACTGTCTCTGGAAGTGAAAGCTCCGGAAAATAAATCAAGTCATACGCAGCTGTCATCCGTACGCAAGGAAGTAAGCACAAGATGCCGAACACCTTTAGCAGGATGCAGCGCACCCTTCATGCGACTGGCCGAATACCTCACGGCGCTTCGCGCTTGGTGATGTGAGAGCCTGGTCCGGTGAGAACCGGGTGTGCTCCGTCCCGGCTTTGTAGGGATGCGAGGTCAATGGTCTAACGAGTACGGCATGCACGACTATGAGTACCCCCCCCCAGGCGCAAGGAAGCCAAAATGGCAGTACTGCATGTGTGGTATCGGGAGAGGACAGGTTGCCGAGAATACCGTGGGAGGTGAAGTGGGCAAACAAGAAGAGGGGTAGACAACCCACGGAGTGGGTCAAGGTTATAGTTGACTTATGGAAGGAGGACGAAGTTGATGAAGGTGAAACGCTGGAAACGGAAGGTCTAGAGGGGTTCAAGGAGAAGATATTGAGTGTTACGGTACTTAGAGGTAGACATGTGATCGTGGTTGACCATAGTCATTTGGCGTCGTCAGATGGTATGACGTGACGTCATGCAAGATGTGGGCTTGATGCCGAGGCATGTGCCCTTCTGTCTAGTGCTTCGGATCAGTGTGAGTTGGCTTGGGGAAAGCGTTGATCAAGAGAAAGAGAACAACGGAAAGCAACAACAACCCTGCACCTGTGGT